GGCCCCAGTCATCTTCGTGAATTCAGTTGCAAGACTCGAGAGACGTGCTCTATGCTTGCGAAACGGGAATGAGACTACGAAACGCCAATAGGCACCAAGTACCTACATAGGCAGGCCCGCCCATGAGCCCCAGCCCGTGCTCGAGGTCGTTAATACCAGACATCAAGCGCGCTACCCGCCGCCTTCAGAAGCCGCTCTTGGCAACAAGCGCTCAACATGGCCATCCGAGCTCACTGCGAGAGATTCAACCGAAAGAGCTGACCACCGGTTCAAGACTGTCAACATGGCGTTGGCCGCCCAAGCTGGCCACGCCCACAGTTCCTGGCCATAATGGTAGTGTATAAACCGGAAAAGCAATGGTCTGGTGAAAAGCATTACCTAAATTTGAACCTTTTCCATGTTCCTCAAATTCCGCGTTTCTCATTTGGCCCACTAAATTGTAGAAAGAGCATCAATAACTTCACCATCTAGCCTACAATCAACTCTCTTGCAATCTCAAAAAACTCAAGTCGCAGGCATGTCAACCCCTGACCACCTGACCACTCGGGCTCTGCCACCCACCACACCCGTCGGAGGCATCCTCACGTTAATCTCGGTATTCCTCCTTTTCCTCCTCTACTTCACATGCATCGCGGCCGGCGTATTCTTGCTATGCGGCCCCCCAATTCTTCCATTCCTCCTTCGCCTGATGGTGCTCGTCCTGGCACTTGTGGGTGCTGTCTTGGACTACATCGGCGCCATAATAGACTGCATCTTGGTTTTCATTGCCAGTCAGCCCCTTCATCGATTGGTAGCCTGGATTCAACAACTTCTCCAAATGGTGCTCGCCTGGATCCTACAAGCACTCCTATTGGTGCTCTACGAGATTCCCGTGGCGATTATGGTATGGGTGATGGCGACTGTCGTCACATTCCTGAAATCGCCGCGAACAGTTATGCAGGACTTTGGGGGGTTTGTATTTGCAGGCATCTCGTTTATTCTTGCCTTTGTAAAATTGGTGCTTGAATATGGATTGTCTTTGGCGGAAGAGCTAGTGAATGCAATGTAGTAAAAACTCTATCGTAGTTATATATTAGGGGTATTCAAAGCTTCAAAAATCCGGCGGATTTTTCGGATTTCAAAATTAGCGCAGTCCGAAAAAAATCCGAAAAATCCGTTTTTCTCCACACAACGAAAAATCCGTACTTGGACCATGGATAAGTGCAGAAAAGCAGATATCTGCTTCAAAAAAATCCGTTTTATCTGCCAAGATCACCACTCTAAATAACTCAACACTACCCCATTGGGGTGATTTTATGTGACGATGTCTGCTAGCCTCAAAAACCAGATATCTGCTCTAGGCCTCCCTGAGAAATCCGCAAAAATCACCAGGGTACTCAAAGTTGGGCAAATATCCGGACCGAATTAAACGAACTCAGAAAAGCGAACTTTTTTGAGCTTTGAATACCCCTATTCAATTGAATTAGACCAGTTATACAAAACTTGAAGTGTATGCTCAGCCACATGGGTTGAGCTCGAAGAACTTGGCAGATTTGGCAGTTGTGACAGGTGACAGTGCACCTACTTCTTAGGTGGGAAATCAGACTAGACTAGTCTGATCCTGGACATGACTTCCTCATTCGGCCACGCCTGTACTCGAGAAGGCTAGTCTCGTTACGAGAAGGCAATCTTGAGGCCTGGAGAAGTCAACGCCTGCCAACACCAGACTACACCTGCCAATAATATTTCAACAAGCCAGCGTTACCGGCCACATGTCCATCAATCTCTCGGGTATGAGGCCACAGCTTACGCCCACAGATCGGGTAATATAGACAAATGCCCCACGCTTCACACAATAACTTCCAGAAGTAGACATCTGTCAAATACCCAAAATGGCATCGTGATTGCCACTCTATCTTCTCGCCTCGCACCCATCTTTCGTGTGATAATTTTCATCAGGCAATTGCATGGCCATAGAATTGAGGCTCTTGCCACCTACCGCCCGGCACGATGTAACCACTGCCAACCTAGGTATTCCAGTCCACGGAAGGATGGAAGTATCATGAGCTTCGCTTTCGCGTTATCCACGCCACAATTGTCGTCATTTGCTTCAACGGGAACGAAAGGATACTTAAGTAGTTTACAGAAAGAACGAAGGTATTCGATTACACGCCTGTTCTTTGGGAGGCAAAATGACAGGCCTCATCTTCAAGTACAAAGACTGGCTATAGCCCCCTCGTTTTTCGGTCTCCACAAGTACCATCGAACAGCAATCTTCCAAAGAAACAAACCTCCAAACCTCCAACTCGATCTTCAGGCCACCAAATCATCAAACAATCTAAGGCATAAAGCTACCATTCCCAAAATCGTCAAACCACAACACCAGATTTCTTTCGAACGATTACACTCCAGGTTTCATCCTTCTCGTATGATATCCACCCAATACATTTGCAGGAAACACTCAGGGAATGAAAGCTAACTCACAAGAAATTTAGAAAACCGCCTAAAAGCTCCAGAACACCATCCGAAGCTAGAAGATTGAAAGATATCCCCAAATCACGGATACCTGATCTACTGTTCTAGCGCCCACCCATCTACCACAATCATCGCCATGAATTTCTCGGCACTCTTCTTCTGGGCGGGGATCATCCTGATCTCCATTCTGAACGTTGTGGTGTCCCTACCAATGCCCCCAACCGTTAACGGCGGCACCTGCTTTGGCAGTTGCTTTGGTGTCTTCGACTCGGGTTATTCGGACGCCACCACCCCCCCTGGCACACCCCATCACCTCTCCAGCCTCTCCAGTGACTGTGGTGATACCTCCGACTACAGAGACAGTACCGACTCCCTCCTCTTGCTAAGTCCTCGACCGATGCGAAGTGATGAATACATCGAGGTCGTGTCTCTGGAGGAATGGCAGAGAGAGAATCACTGGAAGAAGAAAATGTTGCGTCAGTTTGCAGATTTGTGGAGGAAAACAAAGGATGTGCGGCACAAGGTTGTGGGGTGGTTTGTAAAGGCATGGAACTGGTTTCTTGATAAGATATGGAATTCGCGTGTTGAATTGAAAAAGAAAATCAACCACAACCACACTGAAGAGTTCAAGAGACGGAAGGCAGCCTTGCTGGCACAAATCAATGAGGAAAGAAGGGCACAGGGATATACACCAACGCACATGGGAAACTATGGCCCCACTTGTGGTGGTGCCTCAGGATCATCTGGATGCACTCGGGGTGGCACAATTCCGAGTGAAATTCAGGGTGATCGCTTCATCGAGGACGCACCCTCAGACTGGAAATATCTCATGAGCGGGGGTCAGGGCAATGGCAATGGAGATGACGGTCCGTCGATTAAGACCAAGCATCGCCAGCCACCACCTAGAACGCCTCCAAATGGCCCCGAGTACCACCGAGACGACGATCACGACCCCGACTTTGGAGCAATGCCCATAGAGGCAGTCATTCGGACCAGTGGAGAAAACTCACCAATTGCTCCCAAGAATATAGCAGATGAAGAAGAATTGGTCCGCATGTTGTCGAGGAGGATTATGAAAGCTGCCGCCAACCCTGAAAAGGCTCGCCCAGCTGAGCAGGGGAGTAGTGGTCCGTACCTTCCTGGGCCTAGGGAAGGTACCTATAGCTACAGATTCACCGATCCCACTTGGGGCCATTTCCCCGCTCCCAACCAGCCAGCCCCGAAGTCGACGTCTGCGTGGAATCCAGGCCCAAAGCCCTCCTCACAGCAACCTTATACTGGGAAACCACCGACTGCCAGGATCCCAAAAATTAAGGTGTACGGAAATTAATTTTTGGGGCGTTATTTCCCAGGACAATAATGGAGTGGACGTTTCCGCCATATCGGCTTTCTTTTTGTTCGGCTCAATGAATATTTTTGTCCTTCTCGCATCGGCATGTTGTGTGTGTGTGGCCTTTACCTTGTCCCTTTCTTCTCATTCCTGGCGTCCTCTTCGTATATCCAGGCGTCCTCTTCGTATATCCAGACGTCGGTGCCTCTAAAGTTTCTTGGTTTATTGCCTTTCTATCTTGGTCTCTCTTGCTTGCTTGCTTTGTCCGGGATTTAATGCTGTGAGGGTATGGTTTGCCTCCTTCTGTTCTCCTTTTCTATTGTCGGTTGGGGGTTCTTTCTTTGGGAAGTCGTCACAGGGGTTTGGGGTCGCCTTCAAAGGGTGTGTTCGTAGTCGGGTAGTCTTCACTATGGGGCCAAGGGTATGGGGTCGCAAGAGGATCCACGAATATTGGGGTCGGGTCTAGTCTCGTTCCGGTCGGGTCGAGGCGGTCGGGCGGTCGGAAAGATTAAGTAAGTATTGGGCGTGTCGAGGCTAGAAAGATCAAAATTGTTAGGTAGGTCGAGGTAGGCGAGTCGAGGCGGGCAAGATCAAATATTGTTAGTAGGCAGGTCGAACACTTGAGTCGAAGTTGGAAAGTTCAAGTATTGGGCGGCGTGTTGGAACAACAATTGTTGGGTGGGTAGAGGCAGTCTCGGGTAGAGGCTGGAAAGATTAAATATTGTTTGGGAAAGGTTAAGTATTAGGTGGGTCGAGGGGTTGGTGCAGGAAGATTTTACTGTGGCCCGAAGGCATTGGTTTTTATCTAATAAATACATCCCTTCCAAATGGTCGGGGCTTGTTATGCATGTATTAGCACTAGAATCAGATAAACAATAACTGATTTAATGAGCCATTCGCAGTTTCGTATTAGGTAGATTGCTTATACTTAGACATGCATGGCTTAATCTTTGAGACAAGCATGTAACTACTGGCAGGACCAACGGTCATCCACGGATATTGAGGGTATGGGGTCGCAAGAAGATCCACATATATTGGGGTCGAGAGGGTCGAGGGCATAAGGTCGTCTTCACTATGGGGCCGTCCTCACTATAGGGTAGCCGCCACAAAGTAAGAGTAGTCTCATGGCCAGACCCTGTTCTCGTGCAGTATGTTCGGAGTTCAAGGAGAGATAGGCTGGAACCAAAGCCGATGAAACAAAATGTAAAAGAATATGAACCTGACACGGGAATCGAACCCGCAACCTTCTCCTGAACCCTTGGTTTATAGGAGGGAGACGCTCTACCATTGAGCCAATCGGGCTAGTTCATGGATGTTATAGGAACAGGTGAGCCTATGTTTATTCCGCCACGGGGTTGTATGTTTGATCGTGGGATCGTGAGAATGTAAGAGGTATGTAAGGTAGGTTCCTTAGGTAGGTAATTATATTCTCGTCGTCTCGTACATTTCTCTTGTGCAGAATAGTTGTTGTCTCTCTCTGGTCGCTGATTTGAAGATTTCCGGTTTTTATAGGATAGTCTCTTCCGGTGGATGTAGTCTCGTTACCTACCTACTTGGTACTTTGTTAGGTAATGCATGTATTGGGTTGTTTTCGTCGCTACTACCGATTGAATGGCTCAGTGAGACGTAGGTGAACCTACGGAAGGACCATTAATGAAAAAGTTCCTCTTTGCTTCCACTGGCCAGTGTTGAGCCCTTCCGTCGTCGTCAGGCGTTGGGTAAGACCCCTTCATTCATGCCTTCATATTCCTGGAGTGCTAGAGCGTGCTCTCGTGTCCAGATATTTGTGTTGCCGTGGATTTGGTGGGTAAGAGAATTCGAACAACGATGATGGGTTTGGAACGGTCATAGTAGGTACCTAAGTATGTCTTGGTGAGGTTTCTTGTTCTTACAGTAGGTAGTGTTGAAATTTGTGATTCTTGAGCGGGTTTTGGGGGAGTTGGATGGGATGTTGATGTTTGGGTTTGCTTGAAGGGGGATGGGGATACATATATGGATGCGGGTACTGGAGGTAGCGGGGATAGAGGGGGTGTTCGTAGTCTCTTGCGAGAAAGTGAATTTTGTGAAAGGTATGAAGAGGGAGTAAGGTACGTGGTTGAGGGTAGTCTCGTGGTGAGGGATGTTTCTCGTGTTTGGAGGCAGGAGGAATGGGGAGAAGGACAAGAACAGGGAGAAGGGGAGGGCGCGGGAGGTTATTAAATGCATTGAGCAAATATGCAATCGAGACATTTCTCCGAGTGGGTATGAGGGAGTATTCACTTTTAATTTCTATGGAGTTGTAGAGTTGCCAGACAAATATATTTAAATAATAACTTGCTCAAACTCCCTAAGTACGGCCGCGGGGTTGACAAAACTCTCTCACGGGGTTTGGGTGAGTTCCGTACGAAGAAATCCTGTTTTTGTGATTTGCATTATAGCATTGTGCACTTGTGCTCGATGTCGCTGTATTACTCGTGTACTCGTGTATGGTCTCGTGCCTCTTCATCTGTTCAAAAACAATGTCGTGATCGTCTTGGTGCGCGTTATAAGGGCACGAGACTAGCGTTATAAGAGAAAGAGGGCGGCGTTGCACACCAGGCTACGTTATGGGTCTGGGCACGAGTCTACATTTCGCCGAGATGTAGAGATGTACCTACATCATGAGCAATGTAGTGTGGAAATTCGCCATCTGTGCGCGGAAAGTATATATACGTACGACTGGATCTGAGATGTGTAGTTTAACTCACTTCTTCTGATTCAGATTCGATATCGATATCGACATTGATGTAGGAATCCTCAAGTGGTGCACAGCTGCTTGATCATGATCATGATCATGATCCGGACCATGCATAATATTCGGTAAAATTTACATCTTTAAGGGTGCTTTTATTGTGGCTCTAAGCTTAAGTATTCTATTTTAGATCTAGATTAAAATTAAAATTAAAGTAGACGTCTTATTAGGTAGACGTTCGAATCCACACGCGTGGGCAAAAGAAGGCTGCTTAAGGATACCAGATTGGGCTAGCTGTTTTCGGGAGCTCAATTAAGAAAGACCGCGGCCCGCGCCTCGGCTGGGTGGGTACCTCGCTACTTGACGTTACGTCAATTGTCAAACCTTCAACCACACAACGCCATTTCGACATTTCACTCGAGCAACTTCACTTCACGTTTCAATCAATCAACCATCTGAACACAGACACAAATCGACTCGCAACTCGTCTTCGAGCTCCACAGACCCCCACATCCTGGGATCCTACCTACAACCTCGAATCATCGTCCGTCATCGACACAAGAAATCTAAACCTACCCCGTTACCCTCGAAGCTGAGGTACCACGGTCTACACCCACCACCTCCCCACTCTCTCGAAAACCTCATCACAACAATGCTCTCCCACCTCCGCCTCCGCCTCCGCCTCCGTCTCCTCCCCCGCATCCCTCCCCTCCGCACCACCCCCCCCCACCTCCGCCCAATGTCCTCCGGATCCTTCCCCGCCCCCCCCTCCCCCCCCCGCCTCCCCCCCGCGGAGCAAGCCGAATTCGAGCGCCTCCAAAAACTCAGCACAGGCGCCTTCTCCCAGGGCGGGATCACACCCACCGAGATCTCCGACGCGCTCGAAGACGGGGTCGTCAAGCAGCTCGAGACCGAGGGGACCGATACCGCAAACAAGAGCGAGAGCGCGGCCAAAAGCGCAGCAGCAGCAAGAGGTGCAGCAGCAGGCAAGGACGGTGAAGAGAGTCTTCTCCATCCGAATATCCGCCGCGGCGCGCCGGCGGAGTTTGAGGGCGAGAGGAATCCGAGGACGGGGGAGGTCGGCGGGCCGAAGACGGAGCCGTTGAGGTGGGGGGGGGAGGGCGATTGGAGTTATAGTGGGAGGGTGACGGATTTTTAGAATGAAATCTCCTCTATATAAATTTAAAAGTGACTTTCGGGATAATCTGTTGGAGGGAAATGATGGACACGAGAAGCCAGGAAGGAAGGAAGGAAGGAGGATGCATGGATGCATCATCTCTCGAGGTCTCTCTGGTACGAATTTCGGGGAGTTGCTCATAAAATGCGTGCAGGGTGAAGATAAATTTTTTTTTCTTTTTCTCATGATCATTTATATACAAATAATTACAAAAAGAATATAAATCAAACATCAACTTTTCATTTCAAAAAATATATAAAACAAAAATCGGGTTTTCACTACGCTAAAAGCAAGAAAAATGCTAAACTTCAACCGCAACACCTTTTCCAGCAACAGCATCCATCGGGACCTCGACCCTCTTCTTCGTCCTCCCCAGTCCATCCTTTCCATAAAAGTCCATCGGGTAGGACTCACCCCACATCTCCCTCCCCCCCAGCGCAACCATGGCCTCATACGGGCTCAGCAGCGGCCTCGGGAAGGCATACCCCCAGTCGATACTCAATCTCGGGCACGCCACCTGCACCCAGCACTCGACCTCCTCAAACATCTTCAACTTTCCCGGGAAGATCTCACTCAGAGCAAGAACGACATAATTCCTCCCACTGCCCTCTAACCTGCGCTTGATCTCATCGAGGGTATTTGGGTTTCCCTGCCTCCCTAGGGTTCCGAGGATAAGGCCCCACTTCTTTGCGCGGGTGGCGGTGGAGATGGCGGTTCGCCGGAGTGTGTGCATCTCCTCGTGGTTGTACTCCTCGTGTGTGAATTTCCGGGAGTAGGGGTCGTAGCGGTAGGCAGGGAGGTGCGGGTTCTGGATCATGGCGCTCTCGAGGTGGAAGCGGCCGTCGCCGACGTAGATGATTGCTTTTATCCCGCCGTCTTCTTTAGGTAGCAACGGACTCGTGCAGCCCAGTACCTCGCCCTTGGAAAGGGGCATGATTTGCGGGATGAGGACCCCGTACCCGAGGTTCTTGAGGGCCTCGCAGACTTGGTGGATCGTGGAGTTGAATTGGATGGTTCCTACAAATGCGAGCTTCTTGTCCTGGTCCGGCTTGAAGTTGCGGGAGATGGTGGCGATGAGGTGCGCCGTGTCGATTGCGATTGTGACGAAGACGTAGAGGGTCTTGATTTTCGTGACGTCCACTGGGATCAAGCACGAGTGCGCATAGTGGACCAGGAAGTCACACTCCAGTGCCCGTGCGGTGAAGTCGTCGATGCAGCATGCCCCGTAGGTGACGTCCCCCATGATCACGGTTTCCGTGTCGGGGCAGAACGTCTCGATGATGTCGGAGATTGTGCAGGCGAAGAGGAGGAGGCCTTCGGGGAGTTGCAGGCCGATGCGGCGGGAGTTGGATTTCCGGATGTGCCATATTGTCTTGTGGATCTCGAAGTTGTAGTTGCCGGGGAGGAGCGTGATGGCTTCGTTGAGGGCGGGGTCGTTGAGGATTTCGGGGGGGATTTGGTTGAGGGCGCGGCCGGAGCGGCGCGGGGGAGGGCGGGCTACTGGATTGGGAAGGGTTTGTGAGCTTCAATGGGTGGTGGAAAAAGGGACCAAGCAGTGTTACCCTGAAGTGAAGCCGTGGCATTCTCAAGGTCCGCGATGCTAGAAGTCGAGCTTCCCGCAGCGTCCTTCTTCTGGCGCTGGGCGGCTGCGGCGTCTGCCTGTTTCCGCCCCACGAACCTCATCTTTGGCGGCGCGGCCGGCGCTGCCGCCGCTGGAGCTGGAGTCGCCGGCGGTGCTGTTGGTGATGGCGCAGGGTCTGCCATTGGATTTCTTTTGGCTGTGTCTTCCGGAGCAGACTGGCGGAGCTGCTGGGAGCTGTGGCAAATTGGGCTCGACTTTTGCCCCACCACCCCACCATAGGGTGCATGGGCTATGCAGTACTGGCGCTGATGCATGCGCTGCATGTATGCAAGATCGGTCGACTATGCACCGCTGTCTTGGCGATGGGTAGACGCGGCCAAGTGCGAGCCCATGCCGGCGACATGCCTCGGCCGCGGAGGACGGTTGCGGGGTGCGGCGGAGTGGGCACGAGACTACGGCGGAGCTGGTGGAGGGCTGCCCGATCGAGACGAATACAGTCTCGTGACCGATAGAATAAAGACCATCCGCAGGCAGAGAGCACAAGCCCTCGCACAAGCCCCCAAGCCCTCGGACCAGGGACTCGAGACACCATCGCCATCTTCACCATCTTCCTCCAGACACATTACATCACATCGCATCCGAAGGCACCCACACTCATACTATCATACTGCACATCTCGCCCACACACACCCACACACAAGACACGCATTCCCGTCATACCGGCCGCTCTTCCTTCCTTCTGCCCGGCACGCCCGCGGTTTGAAAGCACGCCGAGGTCGGCTTGTCTTGTGCTGTGTTTCATTGCTTGTGCTTGTGTGTGTGTCGTGTTGTGT